ATCATATTATCTCAATTTCTTGTAAAAATTTTACTAAAAAATAAAATTTTCATAAATATCCAGGTATCTTATTTATTTATATATAAAGTGTATGCTTTTATTCTGAATTTATCACAATAAAATATTTTTTAGACATTTGTGATGGCTATTCTTTGCTGTAAACATGATTGAATTGGGAAGCACCTAGGAATTTGAAAAGCAGAATTCTAGGTGTCTGTGAATTTGTTTCCAGAGAGACTGCATGAGGGACAGCAAATTGAGGTGGAGACACCCTGGAGCACAGAGTAGGTCCCAAATCGAACAAAAAAGAAAAAGGAAACCCATCAGTACAGATTTTCTCACAATGTTACTTTTTTTTTGGCTACCATGAGGCAAGCAGCTTTCCTCTTCTGTATCATTTGGTCACAATGTTTCTCTCTCCCAGAAGTCTAAACACAAGGGAGGCAACAAACCATGGACTGAAACCTCTGAAACCATAAGGTGAAATGAACTTTTCTCCTTTAAGTTGTTTTCCTCAGGTGTATTGTCAGAGCAGTGTAAACCTAAAATATTATTTCTTTCATCTTTTTCAGTATATATTTTGGAACACATATTTAAAAATGTTCATTTATATTTTATAGATATATTTATATAAATATGCATATCTTTAAAATATACATATATAATTCAAATGGATTGAATAGCAAAAAAATAACTTCATTGGTGATATTTGGACATAGAGAATAGAAGGATTCTGGTTTTAATTTTATGTTGTTTATGCCTGTATTCTCTTAAACTTGTGTATTTGTGTCTGTGTGTGAGTGAATAGTATATGTGAGCATGAATATATATTTATTAGAAATGACTGATATTCTGAAAATTAAACTACATATTTGTTAAAGTATTTAAAATAAATTGTTTCTTCATTTGTAATTTGTGATTCTTTACATTGACTAGTTTTTAGAGCCTTTCTAAATCTCAGATTATATATATAATAAGATATACACATAATGTAGCTATATAATCAACTATCATAAATAAAATTTCATTGAAACGCTAATACTAATTTTGTTTTTGTACCTGAATCCTAACTATTAACAGAGAAATTTGCATAATTATTTACAATGAAGAGATCTGACAAAGAAACTGTGGGAAATGTCTGTCATCCATGTATATGATAGATAGATATACATTTTTTCAAATTCTCTTTCATATTTGTCCCATAATAATAATTTCCTTGAGATTGGTAGATATACATTATTTTATGAATATTTTAATTAGGAGGGATTTTTTAAAAGTCTATTTTTCATTTTTATTTCCTGGTGGTGTCACAGCTATAGGTATCACACAAGGAGAGCTTGATAGACTTATGTTACATTATCTTTGTATTGATATTAATGTTACAAGTATGTTCTCGGCCCCCAAACATATATTTTTTCAGAGTTTAAGAGTTAGTTTTCATTAACTTCCAGATTTGCTACATTTTGGTACATACACACATATGGATATATTAATGTGAATATATAAGTCCTGTGATGCTTTATTTCTTATACATTTCCTCTTGATCAAGCTCTTTCTAAACAAGGTTATTATCACCCAACATTTTTCTCCAGTTGTCTTCGAATTCTGCATTTTATACACATCTGTAGTTATGGTTTAAAAACTAGGACGGTGTGTAGATTTTTATGTGCTTATGCTTTCTTAATAAATCTGTATCTTTAGTTATTCTAAAATATAAAATAAAATTGACTAAAACTTTCTAACAGTATGTTGTAAGAATCATGTGAATAACATGTTTGCATTGCAAGTGAACAAGTTATATATTGCTTCTAATACAAAGCAAATATTTATGAAGAGCTCACATATTCACTTACATCTTCCACTGAGACATACCTAGATAAATTAACTTTAGTTCATGACTTCTGAAGCTGCATTCAATACTACATAGATTAGTTATAGGTTTCTCAACTATGATTACATCTCTGTGTGTTTGATTTTAGGGAGGAAGGTGATTACTAGACATAGTTCAGAAAATTGAGTATTTGAGTATATATAAAGTAAAAGCCAAATGTATTTATTCAATGGTATATATGAGAACTTGATATTATTCATAGAAAGAAAAGAAAATGTTGTTAATTTAAGTATATATTCATCAGATAAATCAACAATGAAATTTTTATTATGGTCTTCATGGCTGATGACAGGCAATAGTCTTCAAGAGACACACAGAAATGAACACCAAGAAATTCAGGTACTCAGAAATGGAGGCAAGTAGAGAACCAAATGCACCTTGAAAGAGAGGCCTGTAAGATAAATTCCAGTATCAGGTGTAATTGGAAAAAGCAACAAGGCTGTCTCTCCATCCTGGTACTACTTGTACCCCAAATCTTGTGAACACATCATCTTGGGAAATGGCATCACCCCCTGAGGAAGCTGGGTACAGCAGCAGTAGCCAAGCTGGTGCTCTCGGTGACCAACCTGGCAAATACTGTCCAGTTCCCACAAGATCTAACACCCTTCTCCCTAGGAGAAGAAACTGGTGAGCAAGATACTTACACGTCAGGGCACTAAAGAAACAGAAAGATAGAGAATCATTTGGAGGGCAGTGATTAAGTTTGGGCAATTGAGAGAGAAAAGAACAGGGAGTAGTCAATCTCCTATCATATTCCCAAACACTGGAAAGCTTTGTGTATGTAGGGTATCTGACAAACCATCAAGCTGAGCACTGCTTACAGAGAGAATAAGAAGCAAGATCAGCAGTCTCTTTGGATCTCCAAGTCTCCTTACTCACTATCAAGCAAGAAAATAAATCTTAGGAGGAGAACCATCTCAAGCACCAGTAGACACAGCCAATCTCCTGTATTCAAACACAGAGAATTGGAGCTCATCCCCTATGAATGATACAAGCCAATGATTATCTACTTGTGAGTACAGAGGATGGCACACAAGTCAAATTCTGACTGAGGTACAAAAAAGACTGACAGATCTCTTCTTATATGTGCATACATATGTGTGCACGTGCATATGTGTGTGTTTCTCCTATATATATCTATATATAGTATATATGAAAAAAATAAGAACTAGTGTCTCAGTTTTGATAGCATTTTTCATATTTTTCATAGGAATCTCAGGTGTTAACCCTCTCCAAAAATTATGTGTAGAGGATTCTAACATAAACTTTCTATCAGCACATTGTTTCTAACCTTCTTACAGCTAGTATAATACTTTTCACTGAAGGTATAATTTCCAATTATATTTCCCTCCCCTTTCTTTATTACTGTCTTAGAAAATATCCTCTCAATCTACTCTCCACCTAACATCCACTTGAGATATGGAAATAATATCAACAATTCTCTCCTTTGTTTCTTTTATTTATGGCTATCTTTGATCTTCTTTCTTTCCTTCTGAACTATTTTTCTTCCTGTTTGTCTTTATTCCTTTCCTTATCCTTCCCAAAGCTATGCTACTCTATATATCATGGTCTTTCAGGGTTGTTGAAAAAATGCTGATATTGTTAAAACTAGCATTACATTATGTAATTGATCTGCATTTGGTTCTGTAGATGTTCATAGAAATGGCAGTGTTTCTTTCACTGCAACCAAGTGTGACAGGTGCTGACTCCATTATGTCCCGTAATTTTAAAAGGTGTATAAATACCAAAATATAACCAAAGCCAAATTCACATCACACAGAAACATATGCTAATTAGTGATTCCCCATTATAGCAACAGTGTTTTTCTACCTTAACTAGTCCTCAACCCTCATCACAAAAAATCATTAGAAACACAAGACCACAAGGATTTCAGTTTTTGATCATTTAGGATGATATTGGCTGTTGGTTTTTCATAGATGGCTTTTATCATATTGAGGTAGAGACTGTCTATTCCAATTTTTTGTAGCTTCCAAATTTTCCAATTTTTTGTATGAGTCCAAACTCTCCAAAAGCTGATCTAATGGTAGTGAATTGCATGTAGTCACAGACAAATAACTCAAAAAACAAGTGGCTAAAATGTTAGAAAATGTCAAAGTAGAAACAAATCTGTAAGACTTTCAATGAATTCAAAAAAGTTGTAAAACACAAAGGATTTAATTAAAAATGTTCAAAGACATTAAAGAAGACAAAAAGACAACTGAATTAAAAAATTGAAGTAGGAATGACCATTTTAGTAAAGAATTAGAGATTATAAAAATAAATCAAACAAATAAGGAATGTAAAAATTGTATGGATGATAGAAATAACAAATGTGAGAAGATAGTGTCACACCCAGAAGACAAGGATGAGATAGATCAAGTACTCACTGATACCTTAAAAATAATAAAATACCACTGAAGGTGAATCATCAGTGCTGGGCTGTCTCACAAACATCAACCTAGGAATTATAGAATTTAAGAAAAATTACATGATACAAAGATATAAAATTTATTCCCCAAGTTATACCAAAAAAAATCAAAATCAAGAGAAATAATTCAACTTCCAAGTAAATAAGGTATATAGAACCAAAAACATCCATGACTAGAAAAGAACTTCTCCATGACATGTCATATTCAAAATTTAAAAAAATTCAGCACAA